AACCCCGAAGCAAGTCAAGAGAAGCACACAGCACTTACTGAGAAGTGGAGGGCAGACACTATTATGGGGGCTTTCATGTACATGCCTTCGTTGCAATTACATCATCACAGGAAAGGGGTGCTCAGTCTCATTTGAAAGATGAGTCAAAGACTTTCAATACCCTGCTCAGTCATTGGGTGGAAATTCAAACCTACTGCCCCAGAGCACGTGGTTTCTCCACAGGAGCATGAACACATAGAACCACAAGGGCATCCGGCAATCACAGAAATGCCTTATCTGCGACAACCAGTCATAACATTATATAACACTTTTAATTATTGTTCATCTCCAGGAAAATGACTACAAGTTGAGAAAATCCCCCTTTAAACATCTCATATGAATAAAGATCGATGGGTCTTTTGTGGGAGGTTAGGGCTGATGCTTTGAGCTACGCACACACCCCAACATACTACTCAGATAATCAAACTATCACCAATCCATTGGCTTATGGGATTTTGCATTTCTGTTGAAAAGCAATTGAAGAACAGACAAAGCATTTTACAGAAGTACAAGTTAGTCTCCTACCTTATCGACATTCATTCGCTTAAAAGATGCTTGCAGAAGTTTAAAATTGTGAATATACTCATGCTCCAACTTTGCTTGGAACTTCACTTTCTTCAGACTGATGCAGCCAGGAAAGAGCATGTCCATGAACTGGCAGTAGGCTGCTCCTGGGAAAAGAGAAGACAAGGATTGGCATGAGTGTCATTGTACCTAGGTGACTGAGGTCTGTGAGGCAGGAAGGTAATCATGCCACCAGAGCTGTCTCCCCTCAAGCAGACCCCTACGGGCTGCCTGCAGGCCTCTCAGCAGTCGTCCACCTCCTTGTTCACAAGACGGGCTGGAGGGAGGACAGTGACTCGGTACGGCACCTGTCACTTCTCCATTGCTAGAAGCTGTTCTGCTAACACGGTGTTCAACAGTGTTTCTTTTTCATCTGCTTGCTACTGCTTAACAAATTTCAACAGGAGAGGCCTGCCAAAGCTCCCATGAAATGTACAGTTCAAAAAATACATGACATATACCCCAAACGGCTTTCCATCCATTTAGTAAACGGATTAGGTGAAACTGTAAAAACTCAGTGGTCTAGTACCAAAACTGGTTCAACACCAATGTGATTCCAACCCCAAGCCATGGGGTTCCTATATTGATCTGTGTTGTGCTGCTTATAATGGAGAAATAAACAGGAGAGAAATGGTTAACGAATCCTCTGAGGAAAATGGTCACAAGAAACGTTTATTAGTAAATATTTTATCTTTTATGAAGAGCTCTTAGAACAGTGTAATTTCAAGTAGCGAAACCTTGATGGACATACTTATTGATTCATATCTCCTTAACAGTTAAGGCTAAAAGCATTTTGAAAAAGATAACAAAGAATAGTCATTGAGTGGCAAGAATTGGAGCAGGTGGCCATTTCTGGGTTTTCTCTTTCCTCCTCTGTTGACTCCAGACCTTTCTGTGCCAATTGCAAATCCTTCCAGAACCTCACACCATCCAGTGCTATCAAGGTTTCTATGAGTGCCCTTACGTTCCATTCAGGGCCCAAGTCTTTAGTTAGGAAGCCCCCACTATGCTACTTGAGTCAAATGAGTGTCCAGCCTCTTTTACTGGGACTGAATCACAAGAGATGACAGAGGAAGATACATAGGGCCTTAGGGCTGCTGGAACAGAATGTTCCAGTTTCTTATTCTTTGTAGATAAGCGATGAAACATTGGCCATAGTAACTATCATCTCCAGAATCTTGGAATCTCTCCTATTCCAACAAACACCAATACCCAAACCCAAATTCCTAGCCAAGCAGATGGGGTTTCTTTTTTTAATTTTTTTTTAATGAGATATGATTATCAGACACCCGAATTGGGTCTGCTCTTAGGGCTTTTCCTTCAACTACTGGGAGAGCTTTTACTTGAAACAGGAAACAAGAGAAAATGGTGGATGCAGTCTTTTTGGAGTTTTACTTGGGGTGGGGGGTTGGGGGGGGAGATTCAGCTAAACAATTATCTTGCCATTTGATTACTTTGGTAAGTTTGGGATTATATTTACTTGTGAGGTTCTTAAGTTAATGTCTGAGATGTCATGAGGACCAGAATCACACGGTGTACATCCTCCACAGCCAAACCAATGGCCATCAAGATTCCTACGCAGGGCGGTCCTCTATAGGGTTTCCAAGGCTGTCAATCTTTTCACAAAAAAAATTTATTGAGCTATAATGAATATCGTACAGTTCAGTCATTTTAAGAAGAGCTGTACTGTCATCACCACAGTCAACTTCAGAATAGTTTCTTCCTTCTTGTACCCATTGCTATTGACTTCCATTTCCCCTAAGTAATTATTAATCCAGTTACTGTATCCAAGGTTTCACCCATCCAGATTGCCCTTTACAGAAAAACATACAAAACAAAGACTTTATGAGAAATCTTTATGGGAGTAGACAGCCTCGTCTTTGTCTCTTAAAGTAGTTTCAAACACTAACCTTATGGTTAGCAGCCCAATGCTTACCCCACAAGGCTACCAGGATTAAGCACTAACTCACTGATTCACTCACTCAGGGTTTCTTAAAGACATAACAAAACATTGGGCTAGAGCAGTGGTTCTCAATCTGTGGGCCGTGACCCCTTTGGGGGGTGTCAAACGACCTTTTCACAGGGGTCACCCAATTCCTAACAGTAGCAAAATTATAGCTATGAAGTAGCAAAGAGAGTAATTTTATGGTTGGGGCATCACCACAACATGAGGAACTGTATTAAAGGGTCGCAGCATCAGGAAGATTGAGAATCACCGGGTTAGAGAAATATGATCTAGGGGTTAATTCTTACAGTCTAATTATTCAAGTCTTCCTTTGGAAGTGCCAACCAGATGAAGCTAATTCAACCTACTCACATCAACATAATTTTTATACTGATGAGAAAGTCTAACCCAATTGTCTCATTTGCTCTTTAAAGAGCTATTTTCACTTTTGTACAGGTGAGCATGATCTGTACTATATAGTATACAGGTACTTACCAACTAACCAACCAAACCACTTGCTTGTCAAGTGAAAAAGTAGTACAGTGCTTATAATCAATAAGAATAATTGTTGAATAAAAGTAGATGGCGGGGGTGGGGCGGGGAGACGAGGATGGAAATCATCTCTAATTTCCTCATCCAGAGATAACCACAGAAATAACACTGTCGGTGTGCTGGTGTATACACAACTAATCAAGTTTAAGGTAGGCTTAAATTTCTGTAAATATATAATTATATATATTTTCTTTCACAGTGTGGTAATATTGTAGAGAATGTGATTATAAACAGCAGCCAAGAGATCAAAAGCTGTGTAGCACTGGGTAAATCTGCTGCACAAGACCTCTCTAGAGTACTGAAAAGCAAGGATGTTCTTTGAGGAAAATACGCCATGGTATTTTCAATCGCTCGCCTCTCAAGCATGTGAACCATGGACACTCAATAGGAAGACTGAAGAAACACGGGTGTGTGTGAACAGTGGTGCTGGTGGAGAATCTTCGAAGTACCACAGACTGCTAAAACAAGCTGATCTGTCCTGGAAGAAGCACGGCAAGAGAGCTCTTTGGAAGCAAGGATAACTAGCAGGATTCCTAAATATTTTGGATATGTTGTCATGAGAGTGCAGTCCCTGGAGAACAGTATCCTGCTTAGTAAAACAGAGGAGGCGTGAAAAAGAGGAAGGGCCTGGCTGCGATGGGCTGACACTGGCTGCAACAGTGAACTGAAGCACGGCCCCGCTGTGGGGATGGTGCAGAGCTGGGCAGGGTTCGTTCTGTTGGGCACCAGGCGCCTGTACACTGGAACTGACTCGAAGACACCCCACAACATCAGCAACTTTTCAAAGCAAACTTAAAACAAAAACCCAAACCTAACAGACCATGACTCCCTTTATGGGCCATATAATATTGTCTACCAACATTTTTAATGGCTTTTTGACTTTTTTATATCAGTGTAACCACTCTTCAACATCAAGATAACAAATATTCATGTGTATTCTCTTTAAGTAAATTTTACGGTTTCAAGTCTTACATTTAAGTTCTCAATCCATGTGGAGTTTATTTTGGTCTATGACATACAGTATTGTTCTAATTTTAGTTCCTCCAAATGTCAGTGGGAATCTGCCGTTTTGGCTGCTCCCCTGCATTTGGATACCTTCCTATTTGGGGAGATGCTAGAGCACTCTGCCTCGCAGCAGAGTAGCAGAAGGTGGGCAGCCGCTCTCTTCTCTGGCTCCAGCAGGAGAAAGGCAGGCTCATGATCGAGCCTCTGCCTCGCTGACGTTCCTTCCTGGGTGCCTGTCTTGGGGAATGACAGAAGCAAGCAGGGACCTGTAGAGCTTCGTGATGGTGGGTTGGTGGGCCTGACTCCTGGAATAAAGACAGCAGCAGTGGCTCCCTAACCACATGCTCCTGTGGCACAAAGGAGGCTCTGTCCCAGGCTCCTTAGCGACCTTTGTTCCTATCAGCCTCTGAGGTTGGTCTCTAGTCTTTCCCCTGTCCCCAAGACCCTTCTTGTAAAGTCTCCCTCTGCCTAAGCTTCCTAGGCTTGGTGTCAGTTACTCTCATCCCCAAATTCCGACAAAGTTAGCTTGGGCCTGAACAATCTCATTTAATAAATAATCTATACTCTCGCCACAAATTAGAAACACTACCTTTACCATATACAAGCGAGCTTCAAAACATTTATGGAAAAATGGAATTAAAAGATAAGGGAACTTTCCCATGACCCTTTAAAAAAGCCCCTTCAAATTACATACTTAAAAATGAACAAAACACTTAGGCCTCTTTCTAGTCTTTAAATTCTAGATTTTGATATTTGCCCCTGTGACGGTCCTACACTCTTAGCCATTTAAACTCTGTAATATGTATTACTATCTGTAGAGCAGCCTCCCCTCTCCTCTCAAGATATTCTCCTTCACTTACTAGCTCCATCATATTTCTGAATTTGTTATATATGGCACATAGAAAATGAGAACTTTAAAGATGTCATTATCTACCAATTGAATAACAGAGGTTTACTGAGAGAGAATTCATACCATGCCAGAAAATGCAAACTTTTAAACTGCACAATTTAAATTATGCTGAATGTATTTACAGAGTTTGTAAATCTACCACATTCTCTAATTCTAAAACATCTTCATCACCAAGAAAAGAAACCACACACTCATGAGCAATCACTCTATTTTCTCCTTCCCTCAGCCCCTGGTAACCACCAATCTATTTTCTGTCTCTAAAGTTCTAACAGGCCCAGTTAGCATAAGCTGCCTATGTGTTGGGCTATTAACCACCAGGTCAGTAGTTCAACTCCACCAGCCAAACTAAGGGAGAAAGATGAGTATTCCTGCTCCTGTAAAGATTTACAGAATCAGGAATTCAAAGTCAGTTCCACTCTGTCCTACAGGTAGCTGTGAGTCAGAATCGATTCGGTGGCAGTGGGTTTGTGGGTTTAATCCTCAAGTACAGATATGTCTATTCTGGATGTCTATTCATTTCATCTAAATGAAATCATACAACATGCAACCTTTCGTGTTTGGCTTTTGTTTAGAATGTTTTCAAGTTACCTCCATGTTGTAGCATGTATCAGAATGGCAGTCTTTATGGCTAAATAGTATTCTCCTGTATGACCTACACCACATTTCATTTACCTATGCATTCGCTGATGAATAAA